ATCGACTGAATTGTACTTTAATTGGTGGGAAATATTATATGGGCGATACAGTAGCTTTTAATATATCGTCAACACATGGCCAAGTGCCTTCATGTCAGCTACGCGGTTCAAGTAATTACTGTTACAGTCACGGAAAGTTATTATAATAGTTCTCAAATTCGTTGTTTTATCGTAATTTGTATAATTTTATATATTTTCAAAATGAAAGCAACTTTCAGGTTTGACTATCTAATCGAATATTGTAATTTATATTAAGACGTTAATTATTATACCATCACTATATTTTACAAATCGCTATCTATATTGCATAAATCGCAATGAATTAAACCACCTCTCGTGTTAAATCGCGTTACATTAAAACAAAACGAATTAAAATGTGTAAAATTCGAACAGCGAAAGGATGTAAAATGTTTGAAATTTGTTTAAAAGAATTATTGCATATTTAGTATAAATGCACTGCAATCTAAAATTATTAGTATAGGAGACCCTCGTTATATTGCCGCAGGAACTATAGCAGGGATAAATTTTTATAGTTGTCCAAAAAATTATTTTCTTTGATGTACTAGTCCAGATGAATCCTTGTGCTTTATGGTGTAGGGATGCCATTAGAGAGTGAAAACTGGCAATATAACGAGGGTCTACTGTACTCTTAACAGGAATCGCGTAGAAGCAAAAGTGAATCGCACCTGGAAACGTAATTATTCCACCTAAATACAAAAATCCATAAAAGAATGTTATAGTAATTAACGTGTTAAATATAGTATTATTCTTTGATCACGTTCATTAATCTTAAAAGAAATCAATTTTAAACTTTTGTTATATTTATGTCAATTGTGTTTGAATTATGTTAACATAAACGTCTAATCTACTGTTATAATTAAATTAGGTGTTAATAATTTAGTACGAAGTATAAGATAATATTAGCGTTATACTTCTTTTTTAATTATGAACAAATTTGATAGTGTCTATTACCACTTTGTATAAATTCTATTTACATGAAATTGTACAATTATGTATTTAATAGGATTACTGATAATATTCATAGAAAGCAATTATTTCAACTCACGTCATTTTAAATAATAATTTCAACATATTATCACGACATTCTAAAATTTTTAAATGTGTTACAATTTTTAGAGTATCCTCTTCTTGTTGAAATTTGTTTCTAAATTATTGAATGTTGTCCTAAATGTGTACATGTGTTTAGAGTCATGGTTACCTTCTTAGCATTGTGGGATTTCTCTGGATGGAAAGGCATAGATTGGTGCGTTTACATTGACCAAGTAGTTGGTCGAGTAGCCTAAGCGTGAGAAAGATAATCTTATTATCTTTCTCGCTCTTAGGTACATACAGCAGTATGAAAAAATTCTTGAAACATTATTATATTTCATATTGAATAATGAAATAAACGATGTGTCCTTTTGCGATGTGTGTATCTATAAATAATTCGGTGAATAAATTAATTGCAAAGTCGTCATTAGAGACCTGAATTTCCCGCCAATATGGCGTGATTTTAAATAACGGCGGGAAATCATTTCCGAATACTTTTTAACGCTTCGTTAATGAGTAATTATAATTTGTTGAATATTGTTTCTTGTAATTTGAAAGGCTAGAGTACCGATCATATTAAAAGTATTTTTAACCTGATTTTAAATAATTTAAAAAATTCTAATAAACAATTAAGTAATAAACTAATTATTTAAATTCTAATTAATACTTAACCAACAATTAAAGATTATTTTTAACTAAATTTTCTTTAATCAAAAATTAAATTGTAGTTGTTTAATAAATGAGTTTTTATTGAAAAATTGAAGTTCACTTTTAATTCAAAAATAACAAATTAAAGATTAAAAATTAATTTTAATCGGGTACTTTTCAATTAACGTTTAATGTTTAATCGTCAATTCTTAATGCAATAATTAAATTTTTTAATTCTGATATACTTAATTGTTCATAAATAAACTTATCACAAATTTTAGTATTATTTACTTTTTTTTTTGTCGTACTACGAAAAGATGTACTGAATAATTTTTCATACCACTGTACATATGTATATTTTAGTTACTCGACCAATGTAAATTACTAGATTGAAGTCAATGCAAACTCTAATTTATGTTGTCATGGCAACCAGTAAAATAAGATTTTTGCGGCATTCAAAACATGATGTATGTGTTCATTTATATCAGTGATGGGCAAATTACACTTAGAAGAATGCCCTTGAAAGCACTTTAATGGTTTACGTAGACTCTCGTTATATTGCCACGAACGGAACTGGCAGTAGTAAATTCCTGAACTTGGCAATAAAGGAAATCATTTTTTTTATTATTACTTCAAAGTTCGCAAATTTGAATACCTAAAAGTCTCTAAATTTTTCAATTTATAAAAGATTGAACGTTTGTAAAATTAAGCAACTTCTAAATTTTCAAATGTTTACAAATTTAATAATCTGAAAACTACTAAATTCGTAAAAGTTTGCAAATTTCAACATTTTTAAATTCCCAAAAATTTACAAATTTGAAAGATTTTAAATTACTAAAAGTTTGCACATTTGAAAATTAAAAAGACTGAAGCCTTTTAACTTCTCAAAAATTTAAAAATTTTTAAATCTCTTAAAGTTGCAAATTAAACAATTTTTAAATCTCTTAAAGTTGCAAATTACAAAATTTTTAAGTTACAGTATTTGTGAATTTATAGGAAAATTCTTTAATCTAAGATTTTGCAATTTTGAAAATTTCTAAAGACAATTTTGAAAATTTCTAAATTTGGTGATCTGAAAATTTGTAATTTTAAACATTCTTAAATCTCGCATTTTTGAAAATGGCTAAGTTTGAAAATTTGACAATTTATATTCAAGTTACCCCCAAATTTCCCTAGACTCTCACTTTCTACATTCTTCTTAGATTATCCCTAGGTTTTTCCTAAACTCTCCAAGTTTCTCTTAGGCTATTCCTAACCTCTTTCCTTATTCTCTTCAGATGTGCCCTCGGGTGCCCACGAATTATTCAGTGAGCACTCGATCTGCCCATCACTGATCTACAGTATTTTTAGTTTAATGTTTCATTAATACTCTTGAAAGTCGTACTATACGATTTGTTACGAACTAGTACCTAATAATTGTTGCTAGAAATTAATTTAAGGTAGTAATAATAGAGATGATGGTATACTATTTAACATGCAAAATTGTACATGTTATTCAGCGCCATTTCTCACAATACCCCGAGTCAATGAACGAAAATAATAGCAATAAAAATGATTGTTAAGCGATAACTATCCAATATTGTTAATGATAATTAGTAATAAATAATTGATCGAGCTGTGAACATTAAAATGAATGAAATTAACGAAGCGAGTTACGGTTGAATTCTATCGATTCCACGTTTGTTTGAACTTCAATAAACTTGTTAATATCGATTTTGATGATTCAGAAAGTCATTTCAGGAATGTTCTTTTTCTCACTCGTTTCTGCAAAATTGTAGTCCTTCTATTGCCTCTCGATATGTAAGTACAATGTTTCGAAGTCGCAACATTTATTTTCATCGCGTTGTGTTAAAGGCAAAGAAGAATAACAATTTGCGAAGCTCGAACAAAAAAAGAAATAATCGTTCAACACGATAATACCATGTAATTGTGATAAAGCGAAAAGAACCGTAATGCGAAAGAAAGGCGAAGTTTACCAATTAATTAGTTGATTAACGAAATCATAGAAGTAGATAATTTTTTAGATGAACATGAAAATAAGATACAGGGAATTTCTGTACATACGCGTGCGTATAAGAAAAAAAAATATTATAATTGTACGCGTGTATGTGTAAAATTATATAAATATATATATATATATATATTAAACGAGACGAGATTTTATCCACGAAACAAAACAAGTGATTATTACGATTGATTAAGGGCTGTATTAATCGACACACAATTTAGATAATGATAGAGAGGTATACAGTATATTAATTAATTAATTAATTAAACATTAGAGTAATTATACCAATTAATGAATTAAATGCATACGTATGCGTGTATACATTAACAGCAGCAACGTAAACGATGTACTTGTATACATAAACAATATTATTACTATTATTATATATTATACATACAAATATATTATATTGTATACACATTAGTGAATGTTCAATATTGAAATAAAAAGCATATACGTTGTTTACACTATATGAATTTTTTCTTCTCTACTTCTTATATTTATTTCCTATTAATCTTTTACCTATTTCCCCAATTTATAAATTTTCAACAACTCTGCATGTATTTCTTATTAATATTTTTAACGAACAAATGCACTTGTTATTATATGAAGCTTTTGAATTTGGCGCCTTTTATACCAGCACATGCGCATAATATTCAAGTCACCACAACGTACAATCATTGCCTATAATTTATCATATTACTTGCCTCGTTTTTCCTAGCTGATATATAAAATTTGTGAATAGTAATATAGTAATAGTGCAAATAATACATACAACATAGTAATATACATATGTATATACCACTTTTTATGTAAACAGTTAATTTCGTAAATGATCGAATCTTTCAAATTACGAATTTTTCGTTTTGCGCATGGTTGGTTCTGATTGGTTCTAATAAATCCGTAACTATGAGTAACGCGCATGCGCACTTGCGTCAGTTGTACGGCGACTCTATATACTTAGTGATCCTTTATTTTGTACGCTTCGTATTACTTCTTTTTTTCGCTACTACGTACGCTATTAACCACCGTATATACATATTTACCAATAAAGTAGTAAACTTTGTGAGCTAATTCAAGATGCGCGGAGAAGATCCAATTAACTGTAAAATGGAGTTTATTTTCTTAACCGTGAACTAGAATCGTGCATCTTCTTACTTGAGGTGGGAAAAACATTAGAATGTTCGAATGTGGATCAGGCTACACTCTTATGGAACTTAATCATTGGACTTTCACGAACTTTGTACCCGAACGCTAATATAATACAGTGTGTATCAGTTTTTTGATAAATGGTTTACGTATAATGAAATAGTTTTTTATTTGTGTTACGAACAATCAGGCGTTCATACGAGAAATTTGTTTGTGTCATTTATGAATTATTTTCTTATCTGTATAATAGTATTAAATCATTCCATAAATAATACAGTTGTAGCGGAAACTTGATAATAAAACAACAGTGCGTTTAGAGATAAACCATGTGTTGCATTGATGGCGATTAGTGTGTATCGTGAATTACTTTAAGCATTTAGTAAGAGAATTTGTATTGTTTTGCGGAGTTATAAATAATTCAAAATGTTACGAAGTGTAAGTCGAAAATTGTACTCGAGTCAGTTATTGTTGAATAAAAGTTCAACATGTGGTGCCAAACAAACGAGAAATTTAAGTTTACTTGAATATCAGAGCAAGGATCTTCTTAGAAATTGTGGAGTTTCTGTGCAAAATTTTGCTATCGTGGATGATTTAAGTAAAACAAATTCTGCTTTAGACAAATTACGTTAGTATTTTATTTAATATTTAACATATTTAATTTGTGTAACTACTCCAATACTTATTTGTAAAATTTGTTTAATTATTTTATTGTTCTACTTTGTTGTACAGAGTTGTAATATATTAATAAATGTCTGGTTATAATATTCTGTAATTTTTATTTTGCTGTTGTACAATTATCCTACATATGTCCTATGGTATTGTGTTTTATACAAGTTATTTTTATTACCTTTTTTGTAATCTAATAGGAAATTCATTATTTTAATCATAATATGCAATTTTGTATTTTTAAAAACATGTGCATGTTTCTAGTACCGTATTTAATGTGTTGCATTACAAAATAAAGAAAATAAAAATATGATAATTAGCAAAATGTTTTCAATTCTTTATTTACAAAATTTAAATAGGAGATTGTTAAAACTTATTTGAGAAATTTTATTTCAATTTATAATTTTTCAAGTATAAAATATTTTTATAGTTAAAGAATTATTATTTACTACTTTTGAAGTAAATTCCAGACTTTTAGTGATAGTTATATTTGTTAGTAAAGAAAAAATTTTCTTGAACTGTACTACAAAAACATCTGTTTTTATCTTTTTTGTGCTTATTATGTTTATACTACATGCTCATTTAAGTATGGTATTCTATCCAATTTCTTTTTATAGATGCAGACGAATATGTTATAAAAGCTCAAGTTTTAGCTGGTGGTCGTGGAAAAGGTTGGTTTAATAATGGCTTTAAAGGAGGCGTACATGTTACAAAGGAGTAAGTAAAAATATATAATATATGCTGCAATGTAAAGACATGTATATCATTTATTATGTATTTCCAAATAGCCGTAAAGCTGTGATAGATATTGTGAAAAATATGTTAGGTCACCGCCTTATCACAAAGCAAACTACAAAAGATGGCATATTAGTGCAAAAAGTTATGATAGCAGACTCTGTAAATATTGCACGTGAAACATATGTTTGTATTCTTTTGGACAGACAACATAATGGTCCTGTATTAATTGCTTCACCAGAAGGTGGTATGGATATTGAAACTGTTGCAGAACAAACTCCAGAATTAATTAAAACAATACCATTAGATATATATGAGGGCATTGATGACAATATTGCTAAAGATATTAGCATATTTCTTGGATTTACAGACCCTACTATGCAACAAAAAGCCATGCAAGAATTAAAAAATTTATGGAAACTGTTTGTAGATATTGATGCTTTGCAACTTGAAATAAATCCATTAGTAGAAACTACAGACAAACAAGTCATAGCAGTAGATGCAAAAATTGCATTTGACGATAATGCTCGATTTAGGCAAGAACATTTGTTTGCTTTAGACAATGATGATACAAAAGATCCTAGAGAAGTAGCTGCTTCACGGTTTAATCTAAATTATATTGCTATGGATGGTAATATAGGATGTTTAGGTATGCTTGATTAACAGAATTATATTCATACACCATAAATGAGAAAGTTCCCTTGTACTTCATTGTTTTGCTACAACAAAGTTCATAAATGAATATTACAACAAATTAGTAGTCAAAATAAATAATACATTGCAGATAGTTTGAATTTACTTAACATTTAAGTCTATATATTATGTCTAGTTAATGGTGCTGGATTAGCAATGGCTACTATGGATATAATTAAACTACATGGTGGATCTCCAGCTAATTTCTTAGATGTTGGAGGAAGCGTTAAAGAAGATCAAGTTTTCCAAGCATTTAAAATTCTGAGTGAAGGTATGTATACTGATTAATATTAAAATAAGTAGTTATATCTAATCCAATTTTACAAACATTAATAGTGTCAATGCTATTTATATGTATCTTCTGTACATGAGAAGATTTAGAAATTTTATTAAAAGTAGTTCTGAATGTCTTATTTGATATCTTTAGATCCAAAAGTAAAAGTAATTCTTGTAAATGTGTTTGGGGGCATTGTAAATTGTGCTACGATAGCAAAAGGAATTATTGCAGCATCTCGAAACTTACAACTTAAGGTTCCACTTGTTGTTAGACTAGAAGGTAATTATGTTTTTACAGTATAATTTTTTATTTCAATTTAAATACCATATTCATTTATTTGATTATTTATTCTCAATTAAATAGTTACATAATTTAATGATAATTATTTTTTATTTTATTTTCTTTCCTTAATTAGGTACTAATGTAACAGAGGCAAAAAAACTTATTGCAGAAAGTGATATGTCAATTCTTACAGCAAATGATTTAGATGAAGCTGCAAAGAAAGCAGTTGTTTCAGTAAAAACATAAACATGGCAGTTTTATTTTGTATTAAGTTTTTTGAGGGTAATGGTTCATTAATGGAAGTGAATACTATAAAATCTAAATGATCATATCATTTTTATACAATGTTAAAATATGTAAAATAATTTATTATGTTTACTTCTTTTTAAAGTTATATTGTTTACATGTTGTTATGGTGGTTCACTATTTTTACACATTATGTTTTATATAAAATATAATTGAAGAACTGATTTCATTAAAAATATTTTATATTTCTTATTTTATTGTGTAGTCTTTTTATTTCATTTTTACCTGATAAGTCTTATCAAATAAATATTATTTGATGACGAGATTATATACAGTATAAACATTTTAATTCAGTAATTTTTATACATTCATAAATTGCTTTGTAAATCAAGTAGTGATTACTAAATTCAAAATGTTCAGTATTGTTTTAGCGTTTGCTTCATTGTATACAGTTTTAATACAACATATACAGCACATTGACACTGAAACGTTCCTTCATGCGATCCTAATCAAATTTTTAGACCTCTATATTTTCCTAAATTATTGTTTCAACATTTTGATTTTGTGTAGTTTTTCAAAAGATTTACGAACTCGTTATTTCTTGGCGGAGACTATACGGAGATATGTCAGCACAGTCCTCCGCTAAGATATAGCAAGGTCGTAAATTAAACCTATGTCAAATGGCACGTCGAAGTCGAAACTTCTAGAATGTCGCTTTCAATTCCAAAAGGAAAAAACTGTAGATTCAAGTATATAAGGAGATGTTCTAGTTTTCTTCTTCCAGATACACCTAAACGAGGATATTTCAGTATCTAGATCAAATGTATACATTCAGTGTCAATGTGTAAATCCTGTTGTACCTAGATCAAATTGTTGTGCTATCAGTTTAGCTGCTCAATAACGCTCTTTGATACAATTTTGAAGTTAATTTAAATCAAATGATGCAGCAACTGCTTTAAACATAAGTTTTAACTTTAGGTATTGTTGTACAGATATATCAAGGCTCTCAGAATTGTACCAAGATCAAAGACAAATGTTTAGAGGGTCTTGTTTGCGTTCAAACCTTTTTACTCAAATCATTTTGCAATTGTTATTACTATACATTATCATTCAAATATAGATGATGTATTTTATAAAATTATTAGTACTATAAAAAACGTTAATTCCTAATATTCATATAAGTTAAGTACTTTTTTTCTTTTTCTTTATGTGATATATTTTTATAAAAGTAACGGTAAGGGGAGAAGTTTCACTTCGATTTTGAAAGAATTTAAGAATTCTGGGAGAGCCTAGGAAGAATGCAGGGAGAAGGGCGAGCTTAGGGAGAGCCTACAACAAATATAACCAAGAGGTAACTCGGTGAGCTACATTCAGTTAGCAACCCTTCCTTCTCACTCCATTGAACTGTAGGGGAACAACTCCCACCACACCTACTTGACTCCGCTGTTTCTTTCAACAAGAAACGCACTTCCGAGTTATACAGCGTGATTCACGCACTGTGTAACACGAAGAAAATACTGAAAAATTATATGTACGTTGTTTCGTACACGATTGTTGTTTCTTACCTTGAAGACTCACTTTTTAGAAATTCACAAATTTTTTAATTTTTAAAATTGTGAATGTTTAAATTTAATAATTTCTAATTGTCTACGTTTGATAATTTTCAATTTTTCTGAATTAAAATTTGTCAAATGATCAAATTTCAAAATTTATAAAAGTTAAATATTCAAATTCTCAAATTTTTGAATAAGTAAATTTCAAATTTCCAAATTCTAAAATTCTCAAACTTAAAAATTCTCGAATTATCCAAATTTCTAAATTACCAAATTATTGAATTTTTAATTTCCAAAATTCTCAAATATTCATATTTTCAATTTTCTAAATTTCCAAATAAATTTCGAAACTGTCAAATTACCAAATTATTGAATTTCCAAATTCCAAATTCCAAAAAAGAACAAATTCTCAAAACTTAAAATTTCCAATCTTCAAAATTTTTAGTATTTTTTAAATACTCATTATTCTCAAATTTCCAAATGCCAAATTCTCAAATCTTTTAATCACTAAATCCCCGAAATTTCCAAATCTCCATATTGTTTCTGAATTCATAAATTTTCAAATCTTGAAACAACTAAATTTCCAAGCTATTAAATTCCTAAATTAAAAAATTCGGAAATATAGTTACTTTGCAGTATAAATATTTGTACATAACCGAAGGTTCAACTGAAAGTTCAACCTATAAGTACATACACAAGAAGTAGCCAACTCTTAGTTGATTTGTAGGTGTGAACTTAAGTAGTGGTAGGGAGACAAACAATCTGGTAGTAGGAACCGTGTAGTTGTTGGCACGGACGCATTATTGTTAGTCATGCTTGACCTAGGAAGAGCGTAACTTATATAAAACATTTTATCCTTTCCTATTCTTCATTCTAAGCGAAGTTAAAATCTCACTCAAAAGTACTATCAAATTTTAAAATCAGTGACTGACTTTTCAAAGCCGAAGAAAGCTTCAAATTTTCCAAAAATATTTTATTAAATTTTTATTAGATGTATACAGGATGTGCCATTTATTTAAAAGACAGAACTGTATGAACTGTAGAATTATAAATTAAAAAAAATTAAATTAAAATTAAATTATAACATTAAAAAACTACACTAGTCAAAAGAATTAAGGGAACAGAGAAATTCCTTAAATTTTTAGGTCATATTCAAATTGCTCTGCATCCGTTGAAATTCATCACAATTCATTATCCTATGAACCCACCATCGAACAAAAATTGTAGGCATAATCATTGTAATACCTATTTACAAAGATACCGTAACTTTTGTAATTTGAGGAAAAAACACTGTCTTTGAGGTTTCTTTACATCAATATCACGCATAAAAAAAAACTATTTAATCAAAAACTGATATACCCATCTTAAAGGGTATATTCTTCATGAGATAATGACTATCAAAGGAAAAAGCTTCATTTCAGCTTTGGTAGCTCATAACTTTGCGACCGATCATCGAAACGAACTTCGTTGACGTGCAAATTATAGGGGAAGGAACAGGGAACAGCAGAACAGAAGTGGCATTAATAAAAAAAAATGTTCCCACGTCTATGCAAACATTAAAAAAAAAATTCTAAAATTTTTTCATCGCGATTTTTTGTATGTTTCATTAGTGAAAAAAGGCCTAAAAAATTTTTGAGAAAAAAGGTCGAAAACTAGAGACCTGAAGCTTCAAAATGACTATTCTGAATGTCCTCTGTGATGAATTTCAACGGAGGCAGAGCAATTTGAATATGACCTAAAAATTTAAGAAATTTTTTTGTTCCCTTAATTCTTTTGACTAGTGTATATAATTTGTTTAATATATAATCTTAGATCGTACACGGAAGAATTGTAAAAAATTCTAAAACTACCAAATTAGGAGTTCATAAGTTTCTTATTTCAAGTTACAAAATTTGTTGACAGTTTCTAGAAATTTTTGTTGATTCGTTAACAATATTAATGAATTTATGTCTCATTCTTTATTCCTTTACTTTTCATTCCGTTTTTAATTTTAAAGCAAATATACTTTACTTGTAGATTTCTTGTTAAAGGTCATCTTGAATAATATATCAAGGTCATCGTTATTTTATTGTAAATACATTTTTGGACACCTGTATAACAAACTTTTTAATGTAAAATATTGCGAATATTGTCTTTCATACTTTTAGGTGGAATTGCAAATATTTTTATTGCCTGAGGCAACATAACAGCAGGGTCCGTCACTGCTTAAGAGGTCATTCACTCTTGGCCCTTCTCGTAACACAGTTCAAGGATTTATAATAAATAACACAGGACTTTGATATCTTTGATATCAAGAACAATTTATAGTTTTCACTGTCTCCTTTCCGAAATATCTTGTGCATCCCGATGAAAAACAAGGAAACCGAACAGGAAGTTTACAATAGGAACATCGATTCGATGCCAGCATGTTCGTCGTTTGTTCGACATTGGTTAACAACTTTCCGCAATTTATCTTAATAAGGTTGCATAAGTAATTGGAGACTGCAACAAATCACGACATGTCGCGAAAATTACACTGTATTAGAGAAGCGTTTCGCAAGGAAACTGTATTTTGGCCACTGATTACCGAATAAATCAACTTTAAGGGTTTCCTGAATAGATAGACCAACTTTTAATTGACTTTGAGAGCCTCGTGTGGCGAAACTGAGAAACTTTCGCCATCTTTGTTTCTCTTCTCACTTTGTAAGGGAGGGAAAAAAATAGCAACCATTTTTTTATCGTATCCTTTGGCAATGAAGCAGTATTTTCTCATATTTACTTTTTCATAATATTCTTTGTGTAATTGTACAGATTACAATTACAATTTGATTCCTGGAATTTTATAATAAATAAAAATATATTTTTTGTCAAATTTAAAAAGGCATTCGAAGAATAATTCAAAATAAAATGTATTTCATTTTCAAAATAAAGTGAATAAAATATTGCTTCCGTTTTGAAATTTTGCGTCGATAAAATTGTTACTGTCCTCGACACTCCTCGCAGAATAAGGGATCGGTAAGATTCGTCAATTTTGTCACCAGAGATCCTTGAAGTGGCTTCGCCAGATCCTCGCGTCTTAATTGCAAATTAGTCAGGACGTCTTTACACTTGTCGAGTCGAGTATAAATTTGAATCATTTCGAAATTACGTGACGTCAATTTCACTGCCAGGAAATTCCATGAAACCGAAAAGTAAGGGTACGCAGAGGTTACTGGTGGCGGTAGCGATGGCTGTAAGACGTAATGAAAGAAGTAGAAATGCGGTAGACAATAGAAATAGAGATATGATGAAAAAAAGATAAGGGAAGAATTAGAGATCGGTGATGTGCGTGTATATATAGTTGTTCTTTGCTCGTAGAGTAGGAGGGTGTTGAAGAGGGGACAGCTATTCTCGGAGTTCGTCGCTACGTTTTCCCTCTCTTCCAAATTCGGCGCCAGTAAACGTCAGTAAAGCTTTGTAAATCGTAACGAATGGTGTAAAGGATTTCTTCTTACCTTTTTCTCAATTGTTCGAGTATCAATCGAAAATCTTCTCAGTGGTTCTCGTGTTTCGATTTTGTGCGTTCATAGTGCGGTGTGAGTCGCATCTTTAACGTTAGTGTGAATACAAATTATTGCACATCGATTTGTGAAGAAGGTAATGATTTCTGTGTAACATTATGTTTAATTAGAAGGGTGGCAGTAAAATTAATTAGGAGCGGATCTTCATCTTTTCCGTTCGATTCTTGTTTTCTGTATTTATAGCTATGAAATATACATACGGGTACTCGAACTCTAGTAACTAGAGGAAGGGACCCCATCGCATAGGTTCCTAATATAGGGTTCCCGTTTGTCTCGTTTTTCCCGGGATAGTTCCGTTTTCTGGAAAATGTTCTGGTGTTTCGTTTTGTTTTTTTCTCGATGAATTTTGCAGAGTAAGCCTAGGGGACTAATTTATGAAATATTTACCATGTCGACAGTGTACTACGTCTATTTGCGGTTGCACACGAGTTTGCATGTATGGGAAATATTATGATAGCAAGTTTGAATGCCAGAATAAATTAGAAAATGTATAAGTGAGAAACAGAATGAAATATACGAAATATTTTTTTAAAAAGTAGGATGAGAAATATTAGTTTTTTTTTTTGTTAAGGTTTTTTTAATAAATGTATTTAGGGAGTATGACATTCTTTTTATTTTCAGACTCGAAATTGAAACAGTGATAGTTATTTTGATAAATATAAAATATTAAATTAACTATTATTTTGAATATAGTTTTCTTTCATAACAGTATGTACGACCGTAAATTTTCTTTAAACAAGATTTATACCGATTTATTTAAAATGCAACATGTGTACAACAGGTTTATTGATTTTATTAATTTTTGTCCTCTTCTTGGATAAAAAATAATTCCATATATTTTTCTAAAGTTTAGATAATTCTTTTTAGATAATTTAAAATTAATAATTCTTATAAGATAACTTTTAAAAACTTTTTGTTGTAAAGACATTAGTTATAAGTTTACAGACATCAAAAGTAGAAAACTTTATAATTGTTTAAAATAATTTAACGTTCATTTTTCATTCTCCTTTTATATTTTTTGTAATGATGACTCGTAAATTAATATAACTTTAAGAGTTATGGTTTTTTAAATAGACATTTTCGTTTAAAATAAATGTCTTTCTATAAAATGATCTTCAATTTTTATTTTTATGCGTGGAGCTCGGAAACCTGTAGACACTGCGCTGATCTTATCTTAACGATGACACTGTGCGTTCTGTCAAAACTATAAAACCCATAGCTACAAATCGTAATATAATAATAGCTTAGAAGAAATTTCTATCTGCAGAATGATAACGCTTCCCATGAACATTAAATAGCCATTAGTCTAAATAGTATTTACCTACTTTTCAGATTTTGTGCATGTGTCATCGAAAACTACTTTTCGCCCAAAAACAGATCTAAATTATTGATTTTATCATATCACTTGGAATATAGAGAGGTTCAGTGGAGGTATTTATTTTAATAATTCTGAGTATCATAATATCGACTGCAATATGTACGTACAGGTGCAGTTTGAGTTTTTTAAGGATAAAAGTAAAGGGAGGAATTTTCCATAATTTTTTTGGTTTTTAGATCGTTTTGGGCTTTTGTAATTTTTTAGAACAGAGAAGGTAGAGAATGGTAATTTTTTAATTTCACTTGTAATTTATTATATTACTTACTTTCTGAATTTCTGAAGTTCTAAATTTTTTAACTCTAAAGTCTTTAAGTTTCAAATATGTAAGTTTAGAAATTTCAATATTTTCAAATTTTTAAATTTACAAATTTACAAATTTACAAATTTTCATACTTTCAAATTTACAAATTCTTAAATTTCCAATTTTTCAAACTTTCAGTTCTCAAATTTTTAGATTTAAAAATTTTTTTAAATGGCAAATTTTCAAGCTAACAATCGTAAATTTCTAAATTCCTAAATTCCCAAATTTTTTAATTGCCATAGTCCCAAATTTCCAAATCCACAATTTGCAATTCAAATTTTCAATTTTTAAATTTCCGAAATTTGTATCCAATATCCCAAAACCTCAAAGTTCAGAAATTCAAAATTTTTAATTTTTAAAGGTTTAATAATTCATATAATTTTGTTATTTACTAAATCTATCGCTCTGCTGTTGTGCACCCTTTGCATCCCCAGGTTGCTACGACCCTGGACGATTGCATAGATGATACTAAACATCAGATTTTGCATTTAAAAAACGTATGAAAAGTAACAACAAATAATATGCAAGAATTTATATTCAGACATTCATACAGTATTCATATAATAGTTTAATATGAATTACATAATTACATTTACATTATAACAATTACATATAATTGTATACATTTCTGTCATAAATTCTAAAAGTCGTTAGTATAGTACATATCATAGTATACATTTACATTATAAATTATAGTGCACATTAGAGGGTACAATACATTTACATTGTAACAATTACAGATAATGCTTGAATACTAAATAATTCAATTGAATTGAATAATTCAAATACTGATATAAGAATTTATCTACTTTATAAACATATGTTTATTTTTCAGTATAAACATATTTCTGTGTAACTATAAAATAGAGAAAGAAATAGAAAGTAGAAATAGAAAATAGAAAATAAAAAATAGAAAATAGAAAAATATTTAACTAAATCTACCAATAAACTATAGAATTCTGATTCTACTACTTATTCTATATATAAAAATATACAATAATGAAATAAATTATTGTACTATATAAAACTGTACTAGAATAAAGTTTCATCCCCTATTTAATAAATTACTATTTCACAAAACTGCTCAAAAAAATAAATACGTACAGGAATGCATACAGAGAGCATCATGTTAATTTTATTCATTTATACATTCCGTATAACAAAATCGCAGCAATTAGTGATCGGATAAGTGGAAATTGAATTTCAATTAACGCGTAACGAACACGCAGTCCACTTTACATTCGTCGTATCTAAAAATAACAGGACAATAGGGCATTGGAAAGTATAATCTATCCATAATTTGTTTAATTCACGTTTTGCAAGTTTAATCTCTGCCATACCTTAGTAGCCACTTTTATTGTCCACCATATGATTTGCATTTTTACATATATTTACGATAAATAATAACTTGATACCCGGTGTGTACATTCGGGTGCAATCTAGGTTTTTTTAAATTAAAAGAAACTTTGGGTTGACATTTATTTAGTTCTCCCTATGGAGAAAAAGTCTACATTTCTCTTCAGTAACGATGTTTATAAGCTCAGAAATAGAAACGATTTAACTTTTTGAGGTTAGGTTTTGTTTAATTGTTCCTAGACTCTTTCTAATGTCTTCAGTGACGATTTTTATAAGCTTAGAAATAGAAATGATTTAACTTTTTGAGGTTAGGCATTATTTAGTTCTCTCTAGACTCTTTCTAACAAACTCTTTCTTTCAGCAATGATCCCTTTAAGCTTAGAAAAAAAATGATTTAATTTTTAAGTGTAATTATATGTTATCAATTATAAATTTGTAACAATTATATAAATAATCCTAAAGCAATTTATGATATACAAAAGCAATCGTAATATTCGCATACGTAACTTTTGATTAATGAATTTGAAAACGAACTAAACGTGCACATGTGTGTAAATATTACTAAAAAGGTTCAGCTTGCTTTACAAACTTTTTAAGCTTCTTGAAAGGTTTTTTTCAGATCCTAGATTGTTCCTAGACTCTTCTCAGTCTTTCCTTAGCTTCTTCTTAGATTTCCCCTAGAATCTTCTTACATTCCCCCTGGACTCATCTAAGATTCTCTCTAGAATCTCAAATTCTTCTTAGACTCTTAAAATCTTTCTAGGTTCTTACATTGTTACACTGTTCTTAGGTTCTTTCTGGCTCAGTTTCTAGAATATCCCTAATTTCATTTTCAAGGTTTCCTTACCTCCGTTTCTAGCGTCTTCTCATCTTCACTGTTTGGTCTTTTCCTAACTTCTCTTTAGGATCTAGATTTTTATTAGATCCATCTCTCTAAGATCTCCATAAGTTCCTCTTAAACTCTCCTCAATCTCTCCTCGTAGGATTTTCCTAGGTTGTTCCTACTTTTTTCGAAGTTATGTTAGTTAGCTTAACCATCATAGAATCCTCAAACAAATACATCCAGTTTTGTCAATATCCTTCTCGTTAATTAAAAATGAATGAAAAAGTAGTCATTAATGCTACTAATTTAATATTAGTCATTATTCTTCATAAAGTTATGATGTATAATTTTATGAATTTAGTTGATGATTAAAGATATATTAAGCAGTAATATGTATTATAAAAATAAATACATTTTAATGGTATTATTTTATCTAAATCTATAATATTTTTAATTATTTACAATATTATTAATTGTCATATATTTATTAAATATGTAATATTTAATATATAATTTGTTTTTAAAACAAATGTTTTTAACAAATATTTAAATTCTGAAATTCAATTTATTTCGAAAATGAAGCCGCATGTTCTTTGTATTATTAGTTTATTTTTTCATACAAATTCATCTTCTTTTTCTACCATCATTTTAGGAACCCCACATGTTCCTGTTTATATTTCAAAACTATTTAAAATAAGAATCAGAATGTCATATATTTTCATTTCCGAGGAGGTTACTCCATCTCGTATCAACAAATAAAATTGTCATCGACCAAAAATATTGTTAAATATAGTTTTATGATTTTATTTACCTGTTTTTGAAGAACATTCGAGAATACGAAATTTATTGTTCATTTATAATTGATTAATAATTATCGTAGAATTATTTAAAAGTCATAAGAATAGTTTTTTACAAAATTTCTTTTATTGAGAAAGTTTTAATTTCATAAAATTTTGTTTAATACGAGTAATTTTATTTATTAAGTATAAGTAATTTAATTTATTTAATATTGATAGCTTTTCTTTTGTTTGATTGTAAAATTTGACGCAATTCCGTATTATTTCCAAATTCGAATAGTATTTTCGACGATATGATCTATTTTTTGCACAAAATAATGGACCTTGGATAAAAGACATATGTTAGTACATCCTAAAAATACCTTGCCACTGAGCTGTTAGATGCTTGTCGTGATTCAACGTAGATCTGATTAATTTTCAA